CATATTTAAAACAATGTTCCAGTAGCTGTGTGGTAAATGGATTGTGCAGGATGCTAGAGTGAAAATATCCAAAGCAGATAGGAGACTACTACAGGCATCCAAGAGTGGGACTCTGGTGTCTCAGTTTAGTGGTAACCATGGAAATGATAGAAATGGTGGGATTGGTGTTATATTTTGGGATGTAACTACTAGAGTGCACCAGTTGGGTAGGTATGGAGGGTAAAAGAGAGAAGTCATGAACCAATTAATAAAAAATGAATTTTGAACATTATCAAGACTCACAGCCGTATAATATCATAGATAGTACACAAGATATAGAAACCTTTAATGTTCTCTGGGGCTCTCAACTAATCATAGAATGATGGCCACAGACTTGGTATTTTTCAATATAACATCATCTCTTTAATGAGCCTTTTATTCTGACTAACCCTCTGAGAAGACTTATCTCAGAGAACAAAGGGAATTGCAGGAAATGATGTCTCTTGATGAACAAGTACACGTTTCCTCTTATTGAGGCAGCTAGAGAGGCTGCCAAGTATACCAAGTATAACATTTCTTTCTGTATTATCTCTGCATACACACACCACAATAATCTGGGAGGGCAACAACTCCATTCACCATTGTACAGTGAGCTCCTGGCACAGAGTATATGCTCAATAAACACTTGCTGAATGACCACGAAATAAAATGAGAGAGGAACACCACAAGGTTAAGAGGTAGCCTATGTCTGATTTAGAAACCATCCTTGAAAGAAAGCAGCAACAACACAAATAGAAAACTATATGCCAACGTAGCACTTCTCATAATAGTCAAGAGGTAGAATTAACCAAAATGTCCATCAACAGCTGACTAGATAAACAATGTGATATACACATACAGTGGAATGTTAATGGAGCTGTAAAGAGAAATGAAGCTGTGATGCATGCCACAACATGAATGAACCTTGAGAAAGTTATGCTGAGCAAAACAAGTCAGCTGCAAAAGGACAAATACTGTATGATCTCACTGATATGAAATAAGCAAATATATAAAAACCAAAGATTATTTATGTTCATAATGGTGGCAGGGAGAGGGAAAAATGGAGTTTTTGTTTGAGGGTACTGAGTTTATGTTAATGATGGTAGAATACTTTGGAAAAGGATGGTGATAATGGTGGCATAAGATGAAAAATCTATCAATGTCAGTGAATTGTAAAAGTGGAAGTTATACTGGGAAATGTTCAGGTTTGTATATTTTCAACACCATAAAGTAAAAAGAAAAAGAAAGAAAGCTGCAATATCCAGGCCAACATAGAAGAAAAAGAATGAAGTTTAGGAGACGGCTAGGGTTGAGTAATCAGTGAGTTCCAGACGGAGCCGATAAATAAGAAACAGAGTGATGTTGCAAGAGCCAGCACATAGGGCTAAGTAATAGTCATTGTTAGGATTGTGCAGCTAAACATGATGATCTCATCAAAGGATCAGCAAGTGTCAGAGCTGGAAGAGATATTAGAAAACTTTTGGATTGATTCACGCATTTTGGAGTTGGGGAAATTGAAGTGAAATTACTTGGGACAAACCCAGTTTGCCTGACTCTCCAGATGCCAAATTCTCTTTTAGCATAGCATTGACAATGGCATTAAACTACCTTTTCCATATGTTGGCTCAAAGAGGAGTTTTTAGAGACAAGCTGGACACATGGTCTTCTAGTGACTAAAGTCTAATGCCTATTCCCAAATAAAATTCTCATTTTAGAATTCAGTTCCATGAAAAACACAAATCGTCCCTCTTGATAAACTCTTCCTTTTCTCATTCAGTGAAAATGAGGCAGCCAATGATGGTTCCCTTTTTGACATGGCTGCCAGGAAGCTTAGAGCTAAATTTAACACTTAATCCTCCTAACAATGCTGGCCTCAGTTTTTGACAAATAGGACTTACTCCTCCTTTATGACTTTTCCTTTTTTTATAACTATTTCAATGGCCTTATTGTATATGTGTCTTTTACTGTAAGTCTTCTCAAATTCTTTTTGGAAGTTGGCCAGGTAAAAATCACCAATACACCAAAATGGAAGATTTCATTTCTCTCGTGCACTGAGACTGCTACTTAAGAGTACAGTGTTCCATTTTCAGATCCTACTCTTTATCTAAAGACTCAGACCTTACCTCCTGGCATTATGTTTATAGAGAGGGGAGGCCACCACAGGACCAATTACATACAAATGGGTAGTTATAAAATTGTAGGGTCGGCTTGCTAACCAGGCAAGTCCCTGGAAACTTCACCAAAATGAAAACAAGATGTGGAAGGAGAAGGATATGTTTCCTGCATTGACGTGGCAGAACTTTACTTACAGCAGTGCCCTGGAGGAGGCCACGCACTGGTCTGGATGGTCAGCAGGTGGTGGACTGTGTCATATCCAATTCCAAGCTCTCTGCTAACTACAACCACAAGTCAGACCCTCCCTAGACCAGGGAAATGAGCTCACGTAACCTTCATCTCTTTGGATTCTAGCCACGTAAAGAGATTAAAGCACTTGCTTTCTCAAAACATGAGGCTCTCTTTTCCCTCTCTAAAATTGGAATTCCTCCTCAACCACAAAAATTTAACCCAGGCAGGACTAGGAAAGCAATTAAAGAAGTCCATGAAGCAATCTTTCCTACTGCTGCAGAATTTTCTGTTGCTGTGACTGTCAAGGTAGCAAAAGAAACAATAAATAAGTCCCAGAAAATGTCAGTTTCTCCAGAGGCCACTAGACTTTCATGTTTATGCATTTGAGCCTGAGATTTCCTGTGGCTTTTTCCCCCTTTCCTGAGTTTTCTAATTTTGCTCTTTATTCCTGTGGTGTTGGTCATGATTTCCATGATAATCTAAGAGATATGGTCAAAAAGAAAAATGGCTTCAAGAGGTACTATTGCTCATGGAAATAGTCCTTCCCGAAGACATCCATTTGAATTCTGTTCATGATCTCCTGCTAGTCAGAGACAATTCGTTCTGATAGAGACAAGAAGATGCTGCCCCATCGTTCCCAGCACCTTGAAGAATGAGACAATTCCAAACATCTATGGCATTTCTTTAGAAAGATCTCAAAAAAAGTATGAACTGCAGGCAAGACTACTGTATTTAAGAGCTCAAGCTGAGCCCAGACTGTTGGGTTCCTTTACTATATACTACGAACCTGGAGTCCCTTGGATGGTACAAATGGTTAATGTGCTCAGCTGCTATCGGAAAGTTTGGAGGTTTGAATCCATCCAGAGATGCCTCAGAAGAAACGCCTGTTGATCTAATTCTAAAAAATCAGCCACTGAAAATCTTATGGAACATCGTCCTACTCTGACACATATGGGGTCACCATGAGTCAAAGTCGCCCTGCCAGCAACTGGTTTACCTGTGAAGCTTGGACAAATTGCTAAGGCTTGTGCAATACTTTCCTCATCTATAAAACGGGGATGACATTAGTGCTTACTTCACAGAGCAATAGTTCTCAAACTTCGGTGTACATCAGCAACCCCTGAAGTGCTTGCTAAAAAACAGATGACTGAGGCTCACCTCCACAGTTTGATTCACCAGTGCTGAGGTGGGAACCAAGAATTTGTTTTCTAACAAAGCCGAGGTGATGTAGGTACTGGAGTTACAAGGACCACACTTTGAGAACCATTATTGAATCATGGTATGGATTACATAGTCAATATATGTAAAGTAAGTGTTAACAATGACCAGTTTTATGTACTGTTGTAAGCACTAGGACAGAAAATAAATTAGCTATGGTAAATGGTGTCAGCTCTTAATATTTTACAAGTTGTTTCATCAAACTTATGAATCATAGTAAACTTGTGATTGAACCCTAAGATCATCCATTATATATATATATATAAAAAATCTCAATGTATAGGAGGGGAAATACTATTAAGTTCCTAACAGAAATATCCTCATTTTAAGTGTATATTTTCGTAAGTTGTGATGTACTATAACTACTTAAAGGCAAGTCCATAAATCTTTGGTTTTCCCCTAAAACTTGTGATTACCCATCTGTACACTTACTATGAGGCAGAAGAGAAAGAAAAGCTGACACTGCTACTTTTTGAGGTCTCATTTCTTTTCTTTTAGTTACAGTAAAAACGCCAAAACAGTTAGTCACTATGGTTAAAAAAGATTCTTTAACTCGTTTCCTAATTAAAGAGACAAGCAAATGAGAACCTTGCAATGGCAGTTAGAAACATCAACAGCTTCAAAGGGGCAGAGGAAACGGACTTACGACAAGAGGAGTTTGTTAAAAAGCCCTCCACAACAAAGGAAATGAACGCAAATCCCTAACCTAAGGGCGTTCCAGCTACCCTAAGGCAAAAGATAAAAAGGCTGATGAAAAGCCCTGGCAAGTTAAGCTTTCTGTAGGGGAAGAAAATGTCATACATAATGTCGAAGGTTAAGTTGTTTTCTTTGTAGGACCCTTTGCCCATGCTGTAATCTGAAAGAGAACGAGGAACAGGAAAACGCCCCCTCCGTCTTTCCCGTGCCACGCATCACTCCTCTCCTAAGAGAAAGAGCTTCCTTTTAATAAACTTACGTCGAATGCTTCTTCTATTCTAAGAGAGGGGGTATTCAAGGTTGAATGAGTGGTTGGTAAAGATCTAACTTTTCCAAGTGAATCAGACCTAAGTTTTCGGTAAAAATTCTACAGTGAAACATGAGAACTAGATAAAAACATTCTTGCACAGTGCTGGATTTGGAAAAAATTAAAACAAAGAGCGCATGTTTGCAAAATACGCCTTGCCTTGACAAATTTTTATTTTATTTTTTAATGTGACAGACCACTTTCCCTGACACTTCTTCAGAAATGTACGTTATCTTCATCTAGCCCGTTGTGAGGAGGTGGTTCTGCATTTCTAGCAGGGTGAAAAATGTAAGTGGTTAGCCAGTTGGTGAAACTTGGAATCTGTCCCTCCAGCCCAAAGCTTTCCTTAGACTTGGCACGGGTGGAGGGAGCGAGACACGGATCCCCAGATGGGACTCGGGCTGCCACGACTCACCTCGCCAACTTCTCCAGGCTCGCCGCGCTCCGGCGGCCGGTTCTCGGACGCAGACGCGGGGGCCGGCGCCTCAGGGCTCCGGGGACGGCCCTAGGGAGGGCTGCCGGAGCGGGCCCGCGTGCGGGGTCCGGCGCGAGATGGCGCTGCGGGGCTGATGCGGGTCGCGCGGGCAGCGCTGGGGGCTCGGCGCGTCCCGCGCGCAGGGACAGCAGCGCTAGCAGCAGCGCGGCCAGTGCAAGCAGGAGCAGCGCCGCCGCCTTGCTGCGGAGCTTCATGGTGCGATGTGGCGGCGGCGGCGGCCCCTGGGCAGCGCGGCCCCTCTGCGCATCGCGTCGCGCCGGGCGGTGGCGGCTGCGAGGCGAGCAAAGCAGCGCGGGGCAGGCGCCTCCTCCGCCTGCCCGCTGGGGACTGGGACCCTAGCGGCCGGTGGCAGGTCGGCGGAGGAGGAGGAGGAGAGACGGGAGGAGGCGTGAGCAGGGCTCCAGGAGGTTCAGCCCGCGCCTACCGTACTGTGTGGAGTAGCCGCCCGTCCGCTCAACCGCCAGCCCCCAGGAGCTCCGATTTCTGGTAGCTCAAAAACCTCTCACTTCCTCCTTGATTCACTCAACCACTCACTCACTCACTCAATCCATTCACTCGTTTCTTCACTCGTTCACTCACGCATTCATTTACCCAACCATTCCATCCGCTCCTCCATTCAATTCACTCATGCCACCATTCCCTTATACATTTTCTTACTCCACGCATTTCCCCCATCATTTATTTTATCCATCTATGTACGAGCTCTGGTAGCATAGTGCCTAAGGCACTTGACTGCTAACCAGAAGGCTGGCGGTTCAAATCCACCAGCCACTCCTCGGAAGGTAGATGGGGCAATTTACTTCCGTAGTGATACTGCCTCGGAAACCCAAGGAGGGGTCGCTATGACTCGGTCCGACTCGACGGCACATAACAACAACAACAACATGTACGCGCTCATGTACTTGGACCAGACATTCACTCAGGCAAGGCTATTTTTGTCCTCTTCGTCCAGCGTAGGGCTAGGCCATGAGAGTGCCCATTAAATATCTGTTCCATGAACTCACTCCAGATACAGATGTACCAAACAAACCAAACACACTGCGGTCCATCGGATCCGAATCATAGCGACCCCTCCTTGGGTTTCCCAGGCAGTATCACTATGGAAGTAGATTGCCCAACCTTCTGAGAAGTGGCTGCTGGGTTTGATCTGCCTGCCTTCTAGTTAGCAGTCAAATGCCTTAGGCACTACGCTACCAGAGCTCCTGATACAGATGTAGTCTAAATAAATTACAGAATTAATTTGAAATCTGACCCTGCTACGTACTGGCTTGGTGACTCCGAGCTAGCTGCAAAAGTTTAAGCCTTCATTTTCTTACCTACAAAACGGGATGATAACACTGCCTACAACCTAGGAGTGTTGTGGATGTTAAATTAAACAATGAATTATAAGAAACTAGCTCACAGAAGGTGCCCAATTAAAGCTCTGTACTAATGGCAGCTCTTGTGGCGTAATGCCTAAAGCATTTGATTACTAACCAGAAAGCTGGTGGGTTTGAACCACCAGCCTCCTGGGAAGGAAGATTGGGCAATCTCCTTCCATATCTGTAGAGATACCGCCTCAGAAACCGGGGGGTGGGGGCCTGGGGGATCCGTCATTGTGAGTACGAATTGACTTAACGGCAGTGAGTTTGGGGTTTTGGTTTTTTTTTTTTTTTTTGGAATTTAAACAGAGCTAATTATATATACATAAATGCAAATGTTATTTTCTCTTTTTCACATAGATCAAGTTCCAGAATTTCCCAACTCTTCTTCCAGGGTATCCCTAGTCACAAATCCGAAACATTAGGGCAGTCCCCCTATTTTTCACCATGAACTGACAGCTAGCATTCCATTAACCAGAAAGCCGTTCTATTAACTCTCTTTTCAGCATGGCCATAGAACAAAAACACCCGGGTTTCCACAAGATTCCATGTTACCTTATAAATGTTCTAAAATTCAATTCTATTCAAAATACTTCTTGTATTAGCATTGTATTTTAAATATTTGATAATCTATTGTATTTAAAGGTCTAGTAATGAGAATACTTAATAATATGGGACATCTTGCCAACCAGGCACTTAATTAATTTTTTTTTTTTAATATAAGGACCAGCACAAAGCTGGTCCTTATGAAGTGGAGGTTAAAGATGTCCCAATTGTCCAGCTTTTCCAAATGGCTGTACCACTCCATCATTTCTAAAATCAAGTACTCATCCTCCCCTCAGTACTCTCCCTCCCATCTTTGGGTTCTGTAATTTGCTGCAACATTTTACAGAGCACATAACAGTCAAGGAAATTCCAGAACTCTTGTCTTGCAACCTCTACCTCTCCTCAAGAGGAACATATACAAGGATAAAATAAGGTAAAAACTCACTACCATCAAGTCAATTCCAACATATAGAGACCCCCAGTGGGTTTCTGAGCTATAAATCTTTACAGAAGTAGATTGCCCCATCCTCCTTCAGAGTGGCTGGTGGGTTTGAACTACTGACCCGCTGGTTAGCAGCCACATGCCTTATGCACTACACCACCAGAGCTCCTTAAAATAAGGTAAAGGATAGTAAAATAACAACTATTAGCTGCAGTTTGAGCCTCAAATACCAAAGCAGAACTTGGGATAGCTAGGCAGGATCAGAAGACTCAGTTGTTCAAATTCCCTTGAAGCAAAAGGAAAGGACTGGTTTACCTCCTTCCCCTGAGTCCAAACCCAAGTTTCGGATTTCACTGCTCTGATTTGTAGAACAGCACAACTCTGAAATAGGGGCTCTAGACTCTGGAATCCATAGTTTAATCAACATCTCACTTGAAGCTATAGTAGACTAAATGCTTGTTTATCCAACCTCCACTCTCCCCACCCCAGAAATGTCTCCATGGAATTTGGACACTCCTAGACACACAGTTGCTCTAGCCAGAAATCAAATGGGAACCATATTTGGTTTCTCTCTTTCCTTTACCTTCTGTGTTGTATGTATTGCTACATAACAAACTACCCCAAAACTTAATGGCTTAAAACAATGCTCCTATAACCTAACGTTTCTGTGAGTCAGGAATCTGGGACTAGCTTAGCTGGGCCCTTTCTTCCTTGTCTCTCTCAAGGTGTCAGCTGAGGGTCTGTGGTCTCATTTGAAGGCTTGATTAGGGAAGGATCAACTTCCAAGCTCACACACAGGGTTGTTGGCAGGATCCAGTTTCTTTCAGGCTGTTGGACTGAGGGCCTCAATTCCTCACTGGCTGTTTCCTCAGTTCCTTTCAGATAGCATTCTATCCATTAGGGAGGGTAAGCACACAAGAAGAACCAGAAAGACAATGCCAGCAAGATGGAAATCACAATCTTTTGTAAGCTATTCTTAGAAAGGATATCCCATCCTATTGTTGTGTTCTATCTGTTCACCCATCTGTCACTTTGTCATCCTGTGGTAGCTTCCACGTTGCTGTGCTATGAAACTGTAATATCAAATAATAGCATGGTAACCTATGATGAACTGGTTCATCAGAGCTTCCAGAATAATTCAGACTAGGAAGAAAGGCCTGGTGATCCACTTCTAAAAATTAGCCAATGAAAATTCTGTGGATAACAGAATATTGTCCTAGCCTTCTACTCACTTTAGATGTATCATTGTTGTTGTTGTTGTTGTTACGTGCCTTCGAGTCGGCCCCGACTCATAGCGACCCCTCCTTGGGTTTCCGAGGCAGTATCACTACGGAAGTAGGATTGCCCAACCTTCCTTCCGAGGAGTGGCTGGTGGGTTTGAACCGCCAGCCTTCTGGTTAGCAGGCAAGTGACTTAGCCACTATGCTACCAGAGCTCCCAGATGTATCATTAGAAGGAACCAATTGCTGGAGAAGAACATTATGTCTGGTATAGTGGAAGGCCAGCAAAGGCAAACAAAACCCTCAGGGAAATGGATTACACAACTGCCACAACAATGGACTCAGAATATACCAATTATCATGAGGATGATGCCGGACAGGGCAACATTTCATTTTGTTATATATGGAGTGATCGTGAGTTGCTGATTCCATAGCAACTAACAACCATTTGTTAGAAGCAAGTTGCTACGTTAGCCCTCCCATAAAGGGAGGAGATTACACAAGGGTGTGAATCCCACAAGGCAGGAATCTGAGGGCCATTTCAGAAGGCTGCCTTCCTCACCTCCCATATCCTGTGAATCAGCAAGTCTTATCAAATCTACTTCCAAAAAACATACTTGACATCTGTCCATATCTCTCCATCTTAACTGCCAACAGTGATTGCTTAACAATGTCAAATCTTGTTCAGTTTTTGGTGTCCTCATTCCCACTGTGTCCTATGTGCAATGTGACTGTTCTAGAAACTACCACAATTAACGCCTAACTGATCTTGTTTCTTCTCTTGCCTACTTCCAATCCTTAAACTAGAATAATTGTTACAAAATAAATGAAGATAAATTGGGTATTCTTGCTCTTTGCATTCAGCCCTTCAATGATTTCCATGGCTTCTTAAATAAAATCCAAACCCCTCATGGACTCTAAATCCTGCATGATCTGGCCCCTGACTACCTTCCCACTTCATTGGTGTTGGGACTCACTCCATTCCAGCCCCACCGGCCTCCATGGGGGCCTCCAACATGCCTGGCTCCTTGCCTCTGTGTCTTTGCACTTGGAGCTCCTTGCCCTTGCTGATTCCAGGGTCTCGAAGACACTTCCAGTTTTGTTTGTTGTTGTTGTTAGGTGCTGTCACTAAACACTGCACAGCCCTGTGCCACCCTCACAATTGTTGCTGTGCTTGAGCCCATTATTGCAGCCACTGTATCAATCCGTCTCGCTGAGGGTCTTTCCCTTTTTCACTGACTTTCCACTTTACCAAGCATGATATCATTATGACCACAGTACACATTAAGTCTGGCCATTCTTGCTCCTAAGGAGCATTCCAACCATACTTCTCTCAAGACAGATTTTGTTTGTTCTTCTGGCAATGCATGATATTTTCATTAATCTTCGCCAACACCATAATTCAAATGCACCGATTCTTCTTTGATCTTGCTTATTTATTGCCTGGCTTTCACATACATGTGAGGCAATTGAAAATACTATGGCTGGGGTCAGGCACACTTTAGTCTTCAAAGTGCCATCTTTGCTCTTTAACACTTTAAAGGCGTCTTTTGAAGCAGATTTGCCCAGTGCAATACATCACTTCCAGTTTCAGGTCTCAGCTTAAAGCCATCTCCTTAGGAAGG